TGAAAGAATGGCCCCTGGGGGTCATTTGCGCGCGTGGTATAAAAAAAATCCGGGCCAGCACACAGTGGGGGGATGAGAAAAAAAAAAATTTGGGGAACCGTTTTTTTCGGTTAAAGCAGGACTTTCCCAACTGTATTTTTTTTTGGGTTTTTTTTATTTTTTGGATTCTATTTTTCCCCGGGTCTCTTTTTATAGAAGGGGAAACATTTTACAAAAATTTGAGATGTTTTTGGGTTTTTTTAAAAATGAAAATTTCCTTAAAATTGAGTTTCAAATTTAGCGGGAAATGTTCGATTTTTCCCAAAAGTTCAAAAGAAATCAAATCAGCAAAAGGGGTCCAATAAAAGCAACTGGTGAGTCTAATTTTTTTTTTCAAAAGTGGTGATTTTATTTATAGCAATTTCCCAAACCCCAATGCAGTGGGTCTGCATAACTTTAAATATTCTATATTTTTGGAGAAAAAAAATTTCAAAGGGAAAGAAAAAGAATGTAAGAGGGGAGGGGGACGGGACTAATGAACGAGGAAATGTTTTTTTTAAGTCCCAGGAAGTTTCATTCTTATTTAAATTATTATTATAATAAAAAAGAAGCGCAAAACCCCCAAAAAGGGGTAAAACAGCGTGGGGTTTGGGGGAAGAAAACCCAAGGGAATTGGATGGCAAAAGGGGAAAGGGGGGATGTTAAAGCGGTTACAAAAAAACAGGGGGGCGGGGGATGGGTAGGGGGGTAAGGGTAGAAAGGGAATTGAAGTAAAAAAAAAAAAAAAAAAAAAAGGCTAAAGGGTTTATCAGAATTTGTGAATAAGTCATTTTGTTGTCAAAAAATTCAATGAGAGAGTCCGGATAAAAGGGGGCCCAAACACCCCCGAGAAGGGAGGTTTAAGAAGAGCAGCGGGCAAAAAAAAGAGGGACAGGGGAAAATTCTGCGTCCCGTTGAAAAAAGTGGGATTTCCAAAACAGAATGGGGGTGACTGATAAGGGGCCCCTGGCAATTCCCAGAGAGGAGAAAGGGACGCCTTCCAGGGAGATATCCATAAAGAAAAGACGAGTAGGGGCCCAATGCGAAAAAGGGGGGAGAGGTAGTCCCCCAACCTCGACACTGGTGAAAAAAAAGCGGCCAAAACCTATCCCGGGTTTAATAGATTGAAGTTTTTTTTGCCGAGCTAGTAAAAACCCAACGTTGTTCCCAAACCGGGTGTAAAGGGGGGGGAAAAGATATTGCAGAAAAAATAGTCCTAAAGGGAAAATTCCCTCTATAAAAAAATGGTAGGTCATGAAAATGCTGCCCGCGCAGGTGTCTCCCTGTTCATTCCCCTGTCTCAAAAAGACCAGGGCCCCAAAACAAAAAAACAATATTTTTAAATGTTTGGGTAAAGATGCGGAGTACCAAATTTTGGATACGGAGGAAAAGGGGGTGAGGTGTATCAAATTTTTTATACCCTGAAAAGCACTAAGGGATCGGAAAACCCCAAAAATTTATGACCCCAGGATAAAATGAAAAACGGTAAGGTTTTGTAAGGAGGGAAATATAATTCGGCAGAAAAAAATACTAGTAAAAGATAGTAAATCCCTTTTGTACGACCTGTCCGGAAAAACTGTTGCAAATTTCCTTTACGCCGTCAGAAGACTTAGAGCCATCTGGGGTAAACAGCAATGGCTAGAATGAGGGGAAAAAAGGTAAAGGAAAAAAAGAGGGGGGAAGGACCGTGGGGACAGTTGGGGTTTTTCGACCAAGGGAGGGAGAAAAAAACAGATTTCGAACAGCGGGAATTTTCGCAGGGGGAAAGGGAAAAAGTGAAAAGCTACATGAAACTAAAAAGGGGGTTTAGTTAAAGGAAGACAAGAGCAAATAAAGGGCGAAGGGGAGAAGGGACGGATAAACAGGGGCGGCGAAAAAATTTAATGTTACAAATTTTCGTGACCATTCTATAAATGGAAGGATTGCGCAGATCATGAGAGCGTAATAGTAGCGCAGGCAATGGGCATCACGGCGATCGGATAAGGATGGAACGTTCGCTTCTGCATAGAGGATCTCGACAGGGAAGAGCGAAAAGCACCAAGGCATAAACGTAATCCTTGGTGATGAATGGGGTTAAGGCTAGAGAGAGTAGCGGAGATCCCGCTGAATAGATCTGGTCACCATAATCAAGTTTCGATAAAATAAGGGTGGAATGTAGGCGAAGGAGGGTCGACGATCAGTCCCCATGAAAGTGAGAAAGGGTTTTAAGAAGGTTCAGCCGGCTGTGACAAGTTGCCTTCAGAGAGGTAATGTGAGGTTTCCAGGATAACCTACGATCAAAGAGGAGGCCCAGAAACTTGACTATCACGTTTCGGGGATACGGGAGCCATAGAGGTACAAAGGATGATCGGAGATGACAGAGCGTCTAGTGAAAGTGATTTGGTGGGTTTTAGTGCTGGAAATGTAAAACCCACGTGTGGTGGCCCCAATTGGAAACCGGTCGACTGCATTTGGAGAGAAACTGTAATGAGGTGACAGTCAGCGCCTGCACTGGCAATAGCGAAGTCATCAACATAGAGTGATGCCCAAAAATATTTGATGGAAGACTAGAGGCCCAAAATTCATTTATAGCAAGGAGAAAAAGTGTTGTGCTCGAACACATCCCTGGGGGACCCCTTCAGCTTGGTTTAAAGTCCGGGGAGACACATTTTTAAACCCCGAACACGGAAATGCCTGTCAGTTAAAAGTTCTTAAGGAAGGATGGTAGATTGCCTCGAAGGCCTAAGGAGGGGGCTTGGGCTAAAATATTTACCTCCAAGTTGTGTCATATGCCTTCTCAAGGTCAAAAAATATGGTAATAACTGAGCGGTATTCCCCAAAGGCATTACGAACATACGTATCCAAGCGTAGTAAGGGGTATATGGTAGAACGTCCCTTACGAAAGCCATATTGACGGTGGAGGGGACTGTTGTATATCTCTAAATACCACACTAAGCGTCTATTTACTAGGCGTTCCATTACTTTGCAAAACTGCACTGGTAAGAGCAATGGGACGATAGTGGGAGGTTTCATGTCCGTAGTGCCGGGTTGTGGAAAGGGGAGAAAATGGCGGATTTCCACAGTGTGGAAGAAAATCCTTGTGACCAAATAAATGTAAAGGCGTAATAGGACTGCAAGGGCTGACTGATGGAAATGTTGTAGCATAGGAATATGAATGTCGTCGGGCCCCGCTGCCGATGATCGACAAGCTGGTGTGTTGCCTCCAGTTCTTGAAGTGTAAAGGCACATTATTTCTGTTCTTTTTCTGAGAGAAGAAAAATCCAAGGGTGCTAACTCTCTGGCAGACTTGAGGAAAGAAATGAGGGCATAGATGGAGTCCCTGAGAAATACGGACCCAGATGATTGCCAATTTCATTGGCAACATCTAGTGGGTTTGCTATATCAACACCGGCAACCCGCAGAACAGGAGCCCGGGGCAGGAGAATTTTACCACTCAGTTTTCGTACTTTTTTCCAGACTGCACTCATAGAGGAAGCAGAGGTGATGGTGGAGACATAATCTCGCCAGCAAGTGCGTTTAGCGTCACGGATGACACGGCGAGCGATCGCACGCTTCTGTTTAAAATCAAGGGTCGCTCTGTGGTTCTATTGTACCGTACTGCCCCATGCAGCGCGTTTCAAACGTACTGCACGAGCACAAGTAGGAGACCACCAAGGCACGCATTTCTGAGAATGCCTTTCCCCAAGTTTGGGTATAGAATGAGAAGCTGCGGGTGAAAACGGAGGGGCGAGAAGAGGTGTAAAAACTCATCGATGGAGGGGCGAAGAAGGAACCTCTTTAAAAACAGTCAGGTGTGAGTAAAGGTTCCAATTTTTCCCGATTAAATTGCAGCGTTTGGGGTGCGAAGAGGTGGCGAACATGAAGGGGAAGTAAGAAAGATTGGGAAATGATCACTGTCATGTAAGTCCGGGAGACAGACCAAATGAAGTCTAATCGGCGGAGGAAGAGCAAACTGAGAGATCGATGCAAGAGAGAGTATGAGTCCGAGGATTTAAAATGGGTGTGAGTACCTGTATTTAAAACATGGAGGGGGTGGGTGGCAAGAAAAGCCTCTAACTGAATTCCACGGGAATCACAGTGAGACCCCCCCAGAGGAAATGGTGGGCATTAAAATCACCAAGTAACAGAATCGGTGGCGGTAATGACGAAACAAGGAAGGCAAAATCCGGAATAGATAATGCCCGAGAAGGAGAGAGATATAAAGAACAGAGCGTATACCACCTATGTAAGTGGATACGGGCTGCTGTGTAATGCAGCGAAGTATGAACAAATAGCTGATGGTACGGAATATCAGTGCGTAGAAGAAGGGCACTTTCATTAAAGGTCCCATCAGGAAAAGGATCTGAAGAATACAATAAAAAGTATGCCAAGAGGCATTATTAATTCTAGTGATTTTAGGATCCTACACTAAGTAATTTTTTCATGTATACAAGTTCTAGCATGACTTTTATGCTTTTACTTTTGTCAGTTTGATAATAAATAGAGCCTGAAGGAAAAAGACAGCTTGTGAACTTGATTCATTATGATACAGTATTTTTTAAACTGCTAATACTTGCTTTAATTTTTGAAACACGTAGGGTCTCATGGCTCGGCTTGTAATTTAATCATTATATCTTGTCTAGTTGGCCAGTCAGCATTTGAGTCAACTCTTTGTACTGCTTTTATCTAATGTGAAATGTATAGTCTCTTATTTTTTTCCGGGGTAGTGTATATTTATTTACAACTTTTGATCTGACTTGCATTGGTAAATGTCATTCACAGTTTTCATTTTTACTCCAATTGCTTCAGAGTTGTTGTTGTTCTTTCTTGAGTGGTGTGTTGAACTATTCTGAGGAACCATGTGTTAGGACTATCATTCACATTTAACCTTATAAAAATGTTTTGGGAAAAAGATCATATAGTTAGTCCATATTTATTTTGATTTTTTCACTATTTTCAGTTATTTATGCATATTTTTTTATGTAGTGTTGTCTTCTTTTCAGGCTGTGCTCGCATCCTGGATGCTCATGCTAATGTAAAGGATTTACCGCTACAGATGCAAAATTGCAATACAGTCGTGCATGGCAAGCTCTGCACCAGAGTATGGCATTGCCCACTTCCTTGTCATGCATCATGGCATAAGTAGGTGTTTTAATTCTCCCTTTTTCCATTAATTTGGCTAGCTTAGAGGACCACATTTTATAGGATTCACTCTTATGTTTAGCCCTAGTGAGGTATAATGGGTGTGGTTGTGAAATGAAGTGTAAGCATCATGTTACTTCATTATTTGCTACATCGTGTTCCATAATCAGTCACTCCATCACTGTCATGCCAGAGGGGCTTTACACTAAAGTTATAAAACATGCAACATTAACACCCCTCCTTCAGAGTGCAGGCCACTGTACTTCCATCATCCAGGACTCAAGTCTGGCCTGCTGGTTTCCTGAATCCCTTTATAAATGTTACCTTGCTCACCACTCCAACGGCATGTCAAGTCTAAAAATCAATTTCTTTCCATTGGCTCCTATCTGGACATGATGCATGACATGTTGCTGGAAGTATAAGCTCCTCGACACACAAACCTCCTTTACTCGGACAGACCCCTACCCCTCTTCCTCACTACAAATTCATGGCACTCTGAAGTCATTCTGTTTTGTTCCATCTTCTCTGCATGTCCAAACCATCTCAACAACCTCTCCTCAGCCCTCTGGGTAATAGTTTTGGTAATCCCACACCTCCTAATCTCCAAACTATGGATTCTCTGCGTTATATTCACACCACACATTGCCTTCAGACATGACATCTCCACTGCCTCCAGCCTTCTCCTTGTTACAACATTCACCACCTATGCTTCACACCCATATAAGAGCATTGATATATATCCATACTCTATAATATCAACAATAAATTCTGATTAAAATTATTATATTTTATTATTTGTCTTCACCAAATAGTGTAGCTAGGTATAATGTGTAAAGACTATAGAAGTAGACCACTTTAGGATGTATCAGTATAGTACCTTACCATATATACGTACACCATGTGTCAGTGTAATTGTGATAAACAAGTTTGCATATTGTTATTTGGGTTCACTGTCCCCAGAGAGAGGAGCTTCTGGGTGTTGCCTTCAACAGAATAATGAGAATGGACCCTAACACAGGTGATCACATCAAGACTTGGCGCTGCAACACCATGAAGGTAATCCTTACAATATGTTTCTCTTATCTAATAGCTTTTGTGTTATTATTATTATTATTATGAATTTTTTTTTTTTAAATTATATTGGGTGCCTGTAGGGACCTTGGGGAAATTTTAGGCATTATTTGCAGGTTGACTAATTTAATTTCTTTAATTGATGCCAGTTTAGGTGATTGGTTGGTAGGCAGCAACCGCCCAGGGAGATACTACTGTTTCCTGCCAGCGAGTGTTAAAATGGGATGCCTGTAGTTATTTTACATGATGTAGGATTTGCTGGCTTAAATAAAGTCCTCACATCACACTATGTTTTCAGGCAATTTTTCTTTACCAATCGTTGTGCAACTGCCTAGCCTTTTCACAAATATTCGAAGTCATAAGAGTATCTCCTGCTAACTTTCTCATTTGTTCCACCCAATAATAAACTTCTCAACCTCTTACAAGTACTGGTGATTCTTCATTTTTGTCTGCATAGTTACCCCCTTTGACAACAAAGATCCGTGTTTTCCTTTTTCTTGGCGATATGGAACATATGTGGGAGGTGTAGGGTTTCTGATACTCTGGACAGGTCGGGCCCGCACTTGTGACACGTGCTGTATTGGTCTATAGGTTTTTACTACATTAATCCTAGCGTATTTTTCTCTCCTTCAGTTACCACAGCTTGGCTCTAGGAGCTTTCTTTGGAGCCATGGTGGAGAGTTATTTAGTATGGCAAGCCTGAATTTGAGTGGAATATTATGAAATTATTTTGTAGGAGCACGTGTAGGGGGGACCTACGCTCATCTGGTGTAAACAATGCCCAGACTGGCTGCCGCCCCGGCTCACACCGTGCGTATGCGTCCAGGCGAACTACTATCTGTAGTCAACCTATGATAAGTGAGCCATGTTTAATACGAAAAATAACCCTATGATTTCAGAAATCTATGATTTCCCGAGACATCTACGGAAAGGTAAAGCGAGGGACCAGTGTTTATGTCGAGGGTAATAATAATTATAAATCGCTCTGGAGGGCTTTAAAATGTCAGCTACCAAACCTAACAAAACATGAATTCTTTTTAAAGCCACTTCAAATTTATTTATTTAATAAAATTATAAGTATTATTATACATTATTATTAGTATTATAAATTATTAAACATCGAATACTTTTGTTCAACTGTGTTGAATCTTTTAATTCCTTTCAGAATCTAGCGTCCCGTAGATCTACGGGCTTTCGTTCAGGGTCCAAACCGTTTGTGATCTACGCCATGAGCTCAGCCACTCGAAACTCTGTGAGTGGTATATTTGGGCCTAGAATGAGAGAATACATCTATGTGGTATGTGTGCAACCACATTTAATTAAACAGTTCCTGAAACTCTCTGTGTATTTTGAGAGAGGTGAGAAAAAAAAATTCTGTCCAGTTTTGTTAACCGCATCTCCTCATTAACTTCGGAGTCCCATTCTAAGACCACGTCAGTAGGAAATAAATTCGTCGCTCTTGGAGTGTGAGCCAAAAAGTAATCAGATATGAAGGGATTCGGGAGGGGGGGGGAGTGGGGGGGGGAGCGGGGGGGAAGAGGGGGAGGGAGAAACCGGCCGGGGGGGCAAGCCAGACTTGAGTCCTCCTGGATATGGGAAGACAGTGCCTGCTCTCTTGAAGGAGGGGGGTGTTTAATGTTGAGTTTTTTTTTTTTTTTTTTTTTTAATATTATAAAAATCTGTTGTGTAAAGCACCCTTTCTGCCCAGGCAGTGTTGAGTGAACCAATGAATGGTGAAAGTTTTTCTTTTTCGGGCCACCCTGCCTTGGTGGGAATCGGCCAGTGTGATAATAAAAAAAAAAAAACACTTCCTAATGATATTAGATGGTGAATTTAATGTATTAGACAGAAAAATTTAAAAAAAAAAATTGAAAATTCACTACATATTTAGATGTATATTACTCACTGTCAAAAATAATTTTTGTAAAATGACTATAATTCTTTGTAGAAACATGGTACAAAAATGATACTTATACCAAAATGTTGCTAGATTCTTAAGCTATTTTTCTGTAGGCTTAACTCTTTTGTGTATTTTACTTTTTTATTGTTTTCTGTAATATATAAGAGTTATGCAAATTAAAATAAAGTTATCAAGTTGTTTCATTTTTATTTTTTTTTCTAATATACGTATTTAATTCACCATTTGGCATCATTACAAAGTGGGCAGAGCTAGCTATAGCAGAGAGAGAGAGGTGAGCAATGTCTCAGCAACTCATGACTGCCCATGATGCATGGAAGTGTGTGCCTCTCGGCACTATAAAATATTAAATAATTATACTATTACTATCAATAAAGGTTATCTACCTATCATATTTATTCCGGAATAACCCTTAAACTGTCCAAATGTAGTTCTACGTCCACGTGCATAGCGCTCCGATTGTAGATCTATGCTTCTTTTTTACATAGGAAAGCATGTAAAATCGGACGTAGATCTACGTTCTGAGCGCTACACACTTGGATGTAGATTTATATTTGGACAGTTTAAGGGTTAATATTAAGTATACACCGGTGGCCTGGTGGCTAAAGCTCTGCTTCACACACGATGGATCTGGGCTTGATTCCCAGCGGGGTGGAAACATTTCGACGCGTTTCCTTACACCTGTTGTCCTGTTCACCTAGCAGCAAATAGGTACCTAGGTGTTAGTCGACTGGTGTGGGACGGATCCTGGGGGACAAGATTGAGGACGCCAATGGAAATAAGTTAGACAGTCCTCAATGACCACTGACTTTCTTTTTTTTTCATGATAGTAGGTTGGTAGACAGCAACCACCTAGGGAGGTGCTACCATCCTGCCAAGTGAGTGTAAAACGAAAGCCTCTGATTGTTTTACATGATGGTAGGATTGCTGATGTCTTTTGTCTTTCTCATAAATATGAAAGATTACAGGTATGTCTTGCTTTGCTACTTCTACTTACACTTAGGTCACACTACACATACATGTACACATTTATTTATATGCACTCATCTGAGTTTTCTTTGATTTTATCTTAATAGTTCTTGGTCTTATTACTTTTCCTTGTATATCCATGGGGAAGTGGAATAAGAATCTTTCCTCCGTAAGCCATGCGTGTTGTAAAAGTCAACTAAAATGCCGGGAACAATGGGCTAGTAACCCCTTTTCCTGTAAAAGATTACTAAAAAGAATAAGAAGGACGAAAATGCCAAAGTGGGAAGTCTGAATGTCTGTGGATGTTGTGCAGATGATAGAAACGATGATGATTGTGGATGTTATGAAAGAGAAGAAGCTGGATGTCCTGCACTTTAAGTGATAACAAAGCTGAAAGGGGGGGGTGGGGGGCGGGAGGAGTTTCAGTGGTGAGGAATTAAAATGGGATTAGGTCAGGGGTTTTCAAATAGAGTTAGAGCTAAAGAAAGGAGTAGCAATTAAATGTTGAAGAAAAGCTATGGCAGGAAAAGAGGGACTATTAATGTATTATTTAGGATTATGTGGAGTAAAATAAGATTGGATGTGAAAAATGGGTTATAGTAAGCCGTATGCACCTGGAGAAGAGAGAAGTGTAGAGGGAGAGAAAAGATATTGGAAATGTGAGTGAATGCGTGGGTAGTTTTGAATCAAGGTGAGAGTATATGGTGGTTGGGGATTTCAATGCTAAAGTGGGTAAAATGTTATGGAGGGAGTAGTAGGTAAATTTTGGGGTGCCAGGGGTTAAATGTAATTGGGGAGCCTTTAATTGAGCTATGTGTAGAAAGAGATTTGGTAATAAGTAATACATATTTATGAAAAAAAGAGGATAAATAAATATACCATGGTATGATGTAGCACGTAATGAAAGTAGTTTATTAGATTATGTATTGGTGGATAAAAGGTTGATGGGTAGGCTCCAGGTGTACATGTTTATAGAGGGTGCAACTGATTTATCGGATCAT